ATGCTCTGAAGGAATAGCCCAATAAAGACCCGTTACAGGTGAGGCAAGAGTCTTGCTGGCAGCCTGACCAGAGAATGGACAATTCCTTTGAAAAGAATTCATGGCACATATTCCTGACGAGCTTTAAATGTTCTCTGGAACAAGGATGCTAGGCACTTTCTTCTATTTTTCAATGATTTATCTGAACACCAACTTTGATTCATTATCTTTCCATTTACAAAGTTCAACAGTAACTATACGGAGTTGTCAAATATAGAAATAGCATTTTTTTCTAAAATCTGCTGGATGTGAATCTGCATTCTTCTACAAACAAATGTCCCTCTGCATAATCTAAAGGATCAAACTTCAGTCCCTCAACTGCAAAATTGAGTGGAAGATTTCAAATTGGTCTTCTTGGTTTATATTTTCGGGTTCTCTAATTTGCAGTTGGACAAAAGAGATGGGAATTGTATGATGCCTCCAGTTCTGGATGCATACGCTTCATTTAGTTGTCTATGTAGTTATAGTTCATTGCCTATAAAACAGGCAATCAATAACTAAACATACAAATATATAAATGTGAAGGTATTCAAAAGTTCTACAAAATATTCCACTTTCAATTAAATTTTCTCCTGAACTTTTTGAAACTCCCTGGTTTGTATGTACACACACACATACACGTACATGCCTACTTTGTATTTCTTGACTATCTTATGATCTGCCATCTTACATTTAGTAAAACTTGGGGAGAAAATGATAAGGAATACCTCTGATGGTCTGGGCCCCACTTGAGCCTATGGCTGGGCCCAGGAAGCGCTCCACAGGCCAACCTGAATGGTACACCAGAGGTCCATCTGCTGTTTATTCAGGATGATGGGTCTGGCCACGGGGAGCAGGGGTACTGGTGAGAGCAGGGCAACAGGTGGCATTTGGGTGAGAGCCTAACAGTGCGGGGGGTTGGTGTGAGAAAAGAAAAGGAAGGCAGAGGGGAGCTGTACATGCAGGGCTGCCAGGTCAGGTCAGACAAAGGGTGAGTGGTGTCCTCACCCTGGGTAAGAGGCGGGAGGCAATAGGTGCAGGCAACCCCCAACCCCCACAAGCCCAACCCCCCTGGGTGTTGGTCCCCAGCTCTCAGATAACACCAATTTGGAATAACGACTTGGTCTTTCAAACTTAACCATGTTGATAAGTGAGGAGTTGGATGTATATGTAAAAAGGCTTCAAAAATTTTATGGAAAATTTCCATTATCTTTCGGTTCTATTTACCCATGAATGTTTGGAAGTCTCCTCTTCTATGTGAAGCAGATTGTTCTGGTAAATAGAAATTGCTGAATTCTACATATATTGGCTATTTTACTTCATTGGCACCGATTATATGCTAGCCTATATTGTTTTTATTTAGAAGCATGTGGTCTATCCCCCTTAAGGCTTCCTGTGGTCCCGAAATGAAGTACACCACCTTAAAAATCTCAAGGAGTCAGTAAACTTTTGTTGCAGTGGAGTGAGATAAAGCAAGAGCGATTCCTACGGAAAGTGGGCTACGGTTTTCAAAGGAACCTGGATAAGGAACAGGACGAAACGTTTCTATGTCCTTAGGAGATCAAGACATTGGAAAGTCGGAAAACCCTTGTTAGACAAGAGAGGAGATAGGGAAGAGTTGAACTGTCATTCATGTTAATAAGAAGAGAGAGAGAGAGAGAGAGAGAGAGAGAGAGAGATCTTCCCCAAGAGGGAAGGCACAGAAGAGAAGGAGGTGAATGCAAAGATGTCTAGAACCAGGTGATAAGACAAAGAAAACCTAGGAAGGAAAATGTGTCTTGAAAACAAGAGATTTTACTAAACCATGATATTACTAAATGTTGCAAAATGAACTCTATTTATGTATCCCATCTATGTATTTATCATACAGTAAAACAGTTTCCAATGAGGGATGTCATGCTTCCGAGCAGAGGCTGTAATGTGAGACGTCCTAGTTCAAGCCTGAAGACTGTCGTTCTTGTCCTTTGTGTAAATTCAGTCTCACCGAATTCTGCGGAATGTGGTTATCTATCACAAATGGTTATGAGGATTCAATTACTCAAATCTCTAATGCACAAGAAATGTTCAGTCCACGTGCTGGCTCTTGTTTTCTAAATATGTCGTTTCATGGCACTGAGAATTGTGACTTGAAAAATGTGCACTGAAAAGATATAGTTTTGTTGTTGATGTAAAGATGAACATATATATTTTTTTAAAAAAACAGCTTTTATTCATTTGTAAAATGAGATGTAGGCTTTTATAAATTTATGAGAAAAATTTCGTTTCAAGACATTCTTTGCTTTCATTCCCAGGGTGATGAGGAAGCCAAACTGCTAGTCTGTACCCTGGGAATGTTCCTTTAACTTGATTCCATATGAGACACCCATCACTGCCAGCACTTTCCCAAGTTCCCATTTTGTACTGCAAGGCCAAGATAATGAACGGGGGGATGGGGAACCCTCTAAAAACTAGAAAACAAGAACTCATCTAAAAGCTTATATGCTAAGGGTGCAGTCCTGAAGGCATCCTACTGAGCAAACGAATGCCAAGCTTCACATTACAGTCAGCCAAGTTCTGTTCTCAGCCACATGCACGCAGCTCCCGTTCATATCAATGGAAGTTGTGTGTGTGTGAACTGAGGACAGAAGCTGGCTGTGTATAAATAGCTCTGCGATGGTGAGAATCTCTTCTTGTCCGTCTGCTACAACAATGGTAGTCATTTGCAGTTAGTCGCTGCTTCTCCCTCTAGTAAGTGATACAGGCAGCTTCATGAAATTTTTACCTTAGGATATTTGATGGAAATTATTTCGTGATTTTAGTCAAGAAGTGGGGTGTGGAGGAAAGCCGTATTTCCCTAAGAGTTTCTCAAGTCAGATGTCACACTTTGTACCTCCACTGCTCCCTGAGATGGGCTGTCTACCAATCTGTTAATTGTCTAAATGAGGTCCAGTTAGTTGGGGAATAAGGTAGAAGACTGTTTGTGAATTAAAAGTTTTTAAAAGTCATCTGAAGTGAAGTACTTACAACATAGCAGATGAAGCCACAAGGTATGGTTAGTCTTCTATGGAAGCTGACCTCAGAGTTCCTCGGCAGACATGGGAGCCACTGAGACTCTGCCGTGCTGCCAGCATCCAAGTCCAATATCAACTCATTGGTGATAAGCACAAAATCCATTTGCAGAGTCCCCACAGAGAGGAAGCCTCTATTGAATTCTTTCTGGTCCTTAACCAAGTATGTCAATAATCTTGCCCTTGAATATAATATTATAGTCTGATTCAAAAAATTCCAGTGACTCTAAGTTGATTCCAATTCATGGTGACCTTATAGGACAGAGCAGAACTCAATAGGGTTCCCAGAACTACGAACCTTGATGGACGCTGACTGTCACATCTTTCTCCTGCAGAGGGACGGGTGGGCTCAAACTGTCAACGTTCTGGTTAGCAATCTAGGTGCTTAACAAATCTGCCAACAGGGCTCCTCTTGTCTGAGCAAGACAACAAATACCTGGACAAATATTACCACTGCAGTCTGATGAAACCAGCAGTAGACATCTCTTCACGTTATAATGACGGCGTGAAGAAGGAAAGAGCGCACTACACTTGTAATAAGTCTAGGAGGGTTTCAAAGAGAAGATCATAAGTGTCTTATCTTCTTGAGAGATAAACAGCGACAAGGTATCCTCTCAGTTGAGATCTGGTGGCTGAGTAGACGCTTAGGTTAATGGACAGGGTCAGAGAAATCAACTCGAAGAAAATAAGAGTTCAAGTTCAAGAAAGTGAAGTAAGTTCAAGGTGACCAAAACATAAATTTAGAAGTGAGAAAAGAGAATAGAAGATGCTGGGAAAGTAGTTATAAACCATCATGAAAGGACTTTAAGCCCTTGGGGTCCTATAGACATTTTATGACCCAAACCAAACAAACCAACCTTACGGCCATCCAGTCAAGGCTGACTCATCATGGCCTTATAGGACAGGGTAGAACCAGCCTTGTGAGTTTCTGAGACTAAATCTTTAGGGGAGTGTGAAGCCCTGCGTATTTCCTAAGGAACTGCTGGTGCTTTTGAACTGCTGACCGTGCAATTAGCAGCATAATCCATTATGGCTGCACCACCAGGGTGTCTTGACTTTACATGAAGCACCGTGAAAAGTCATTAATGCGCTCCAAACAGGTAAGTGAGATGACTAGTTTTCATCTTGCTTAATTCCACAATTTTTTAACTAACTGAATTTGCTGGTAGTTATGTATTTTAACTTTTTATTGTGAATTGGGTGAAGGTGTACAGAGCAGATCAGTTTTCCATTTAATAATCTATATACACTCTATTCCACCCCATTGATCCCTACAATGTAACATATTCTGTCCCATTTTCTCTGTTTCTCCTGTTTCCATTCCTCCTTCTTTCCAAATCCCTCGGAAACTCAAAATCATTAAAAAAAAAAAAAAAAAAAGGCTTATTGGTCGGATAGAGACTTGCATAACTCCTGAGACTATGATTATTACTGATCCTTCATGGCTTAATTTTCAGCTAACAATACACAGTTCTATAAAGGGAAGAATAACACGAGTGAGCCACACAGATCTTAGAATAATCAACCATTTGAGACCAAAAGGGCAACATTTATCCAATGGCAAAATTAATGTAGTTAAAGCTTAAGGAATTACTCTATCGTTGATTATTACCTTTAGATTAGATTGAGAACATAATTTGGTTTGTTCTCTCAATTTCTTTCTGACCCTGACAAAACCATGAACAATTTCCTCTAGCTCTACATCCCGGAGAGGGAGAGGCAGACTTCCACCCATAAAAATGATGCAAGTGTTCTATTGGCCTAGCCATTGGGGACATGCAACGAAAGAAAGAAAATGCAAAACATTTTGAAAACTTAAGTAAAAATGAATGTGAAATAAAATTTTCGAGGAGAAGGTCTATGTGATACTGTTTATTGTTGTAGCGGTAGTCCTCTGTGGCTCCCAGTTACTACCGAAAGAGAAGAGCAACTTACCTGGTACGTAGGTTTTCGATTCAGAAACCAGTTTGGTAGCTTTGGAATATGAACGGGTTTTGCAGAGAATACAGGGGGACTGCAATCCCCTCTTACGGACGTGAAAAGTGGACACTGAAGAATGAGAGTCCATGCTTTTGGAGTATGGTGCATGCGGGGATTACCATGGACTGCCAAAAGAATGAACAAAGGCTTGGAGTAAAGATGGCCAGAATGCTCTTTCAGGGAAAAGAGAGTGAGACTCTGTCTCACATGTTTTGAACGTGTTATTATGAAAGAGCAGTCCCTGGAAAAGGACCGCATCCTTGGTAATGCAGAAGGGTAGTGAAAAACAGAAAGACCCTAGATAAGATGGAGCCATACCAGGGGATTCAGCATAACAATGGTGAGGATGATGCGGGTGTGGGCAGGGTTTGCAGACGGGATGGGCATGAGGTTGCTATGGCATCTAACAACAACAGTCTAAAACTCACGAAAGAAATAAAGCAAAATCTAAAATTTAGTATGATAAGTGAAAGAGATTTAGCACCCCAGAGGAAAAATAAAAACACACCTATCATCCAAGTTTCTGATTCTTGCCTTCATCCCACACAGTAAGTAGTGTGAAGAATTTATGAAATGGATGAGAGTGATTTAGTATGGAGTATTGGTGGAAGAAGTGGTAGAACATACTGAAGTCAGATTTTATCTCTGAGCTTCCAGAAAGAGAGAAAAAGCAAGGAAGAAGCATTTCCATGTTCTTTGTGGCTTTTCTAGTACTCTGCTGGTATTTATACAAAGACAAAAGGAAGACAGAGAGGCTGCAGAATCTCTTTACAGGCACTGGCTTTGAAACAGGTAGCTATAATATAAAATAATTGACAAGCAACTCAATTTCTTGCTGTAAGAAATAAGCAAGCTTCGTACAAGGTTCACAAACATAATATGCCCTGGTCAGAGTTCAAAACGGTGGGGCTAATTTCTGATGTTTTATCATATGCATTCCAACTGTTTGTACAGGAGTAAAAGGAGGGAAAGAAAGAAGAAAATAACTTTCTTTCTGGACAGTGTCAGGAAAGCAGGGATGGACAGGAACCTGGAGACAAGAGAAACATGAAAGCAAAGGTAAGAAGACTAGGCTCTGTGAGACGAGGGAGCGTGCTCAGCCGGAATCACTAATCCCCGTGTCCCCTGCAGCAATGCAGCACGCGGGGAAGATCTTATCCAATTTCAACCCGAGAATCAACATGAGTGATAACTGGGGAATGAAGAATCAAACTGGCTCTTAATGCCCTGAGCTCTAGAATCCCTGAGTAGAACGATGCACTATCGCATTCCAGGTTTACCTTGGATGTATGGTGCCATGGAAGTGAGAGGTTGGTGTGCCAGGCCATCTGGTGTGATGCAACTTGTCAATCTCCCAGATGGTTTGTGAAAGTAGAGAGACTTGATATTGAACCGAGACCAACATGTGAATAGAGATATAAAAATCACAAACTTAAACCCTATTTTTTTTCATATAGTATTTTGAAAACATCTTTAAATAAATCTCGCATGAATACTTTCTGATATGGAAGATGACATATAAAAGTTTCAATTTACAATATGAAAAACCAAACTAACTAATGTATTAAGTTAAGTTATCATTCCTAAATTCCTGAGTTAAGGCAAAGGAAAGTGTATTTCTTTCAACCATGCATTTGCATATATACAAGTTGTCCAGACTTCTATATAAAGAGATCTGGTCGGATTGGGCAAGTTGGACTGTGAACAGCAAGGTCAGGATTTTGAAATCACTGGTCATTCCTTGGGAGAAAGACCTACTCCCATAAAAGGGTTACTGTCACAGAGACCCACAGGGCAGTTTTGCCCTGTCTTATAGGGTTGCTTTGAGTCAGGCTTGACTGAATGGCATTGAGTTATTTATTTTAGCAGAATTCGGTGTTCCTAAAGCATTTCTTTTGGGGAGGGGGTTCTCTGAGGACTCAGTGCATCATATTACTTGATGACCTGCCCTGTGTAATTTCCCCTAATTTATAATGGGATTTCATACCCAAACTCTATTGTAAGTCAGTTTTAACACAAGTTAGTTTAGTTTGAATCTGTTAATGATTCCAATTAAAAATAACATCAAAATAAAGATAATGATTCTAACTAAATACAGTATCTAATTCTATATAAGGAACTTTCTGGTAATCATTAGACTTCTAACCACAAGATCAACCGTTCAGACCCACCAGCCCACTCCTAGAGAGAGAGATGAGACTTCTGTTCCCTTAAGGATTGATTTCCCCTGAAACCTTACACAGAGCTTTTGTATCAGAAACTTCTATGCATCAGAATTGACGCTGTGGCAATGGGTTTACTTCTATATACATAACTTTATAGAGGCTAATTTATTTCCCTTCAGCTTAGGATGTGTTTACATGAACAATAAAATGTATTTTTTTTAATTTATCTGTGGAGTCTATAAAATGGCTACTTACCTAGGACATCAAATACTTTTTAAATAAATAAGACCTTTGTGTAACATTTCAACCACTGGGAAATTTAAAAATAAATACCTGTAGCAGAATATAAAACATAAACAAAATTTGGATCTAGCATTTCTTTTAATATTCAATTAAGATGTCAACTTTTTTTTCCTTTTTCTTTTTTATTATTGTCATTTGTTTCTGTTGAATCAGCCCCTGACACATGGAGAGCCCATGTATTCTACAGGCTTTTATTGTCTGTAATCTTCTTTTTAATTTTTAATCATTTTATTGGGGGCTCATACAACTCTTATCACAATCCATACATCCATCAATTGTGTAAAGCACATTTGTACATTCATTTCCCTCATCATTCTCAAAACATTTCCTCTCCACTCAAGCCCCTGGCATCAGCTCAAGATGTCCACTTCTAAAAGGTTTTAAGACAGTGTATTTAAAAGTGTCCTTTTTTTCTTGTTTGTCTTTGTTCACCCTTCTGCATTCTGTCTCACATTAGATCCCCTTACTGTCCACCGTGTTTTTAATTTCACTAGAGAGTTGGTAAGGTAAATAAGAGGAGGCTAAAATTAGGTAGGTAATTTTTGCTATTGTTAGTGTAATGGAAGGATCCAGCTGGTATCGAAATGAAAGTCAGACATGCCTGAAGAATTAGTGGGACAGAAATTACAGAAATCCATTAGCTCTTAGCTGACAAGTTCCATGCTGAAAAACATCCGAGAAAACAAGCATGACCCAGTCAGGAAGTCTCCATTTTCAAGGGGGGCACAATTCTGAGTGCATTAGAAGAATTGCAGGGTAAGGGGAGAAGCAGGGGAGATGTCTGGTAGACTGAAAAGCAGGTGCCCAGGAGAACTGCAGGTCCATAGAATAGGCCCCCAGTGAACACTCGGAGAACTACTTCTGTATGTACACATGGGACCAATGGTTCTGTCATTGCAATTATTACTGTGAATATCAAGGCGCCAGGATAACACAGCGGACCTACGGACTGCCAACTGACAGGTCTGTGGATTGAGCCCACCAGGCTCCCCATGGAAGGAAGATGAGGTGTGATGCTTCTGAAAAGATGAGTAGCATTAGAAACTCTCTGGAACAATTCTACACTATCCCGGAGGGAAGCTATGAATTAGAATGGACTTACCGGCAGTGGGTTTGGTTTGGTTTTGAACCCATTTGTACCCAAAGGGTAAAGCTCAAAGAAATCGTGACTGATTAGCACAGTATTTCACGTACAATTGGTGCTTAGTAACAGTTCAGTGAATGAATTATTCCCGATTATAATCTATGAATAGTGATTAGTGATCCTAAATATACATAATGTACAGACAGTGCTTGAAGGTATGATATGTATGAAGTTTAGAGATAAATCCTCTTGATGACAATGATCTAATCACTAGATAAGAAATTGACCTGGCATTAAAATATTTTGCCATTGAACAGAAACATTTTTACAACTTTTATATATGAGGTCATCCTAGCCGTTTGATTTAGTTGTGCTAACAGCTGACTCAATGTTACCTGGGTCTGGGAAATAAAAAAGGAAGAGAAGACAGTAGAGTATGAACGACAGCCCTCAAGGACACACCTGGCACGCACACTCAGATAGCCATCAAGGTGGGGACCAACACCTCTGCAGCAGGGTAAGTGAAACAGGCGATACAATCATTTTAATAGGATAATATCATTTATTTAAATTGTGCCTTGCAGTTTACCAAGTGCTTTCACAGATTACCTCATTTAGGCCTCACAGAAACCCGGTGAGGCCAAGGTGACGATGATTCTCATTTTACAGGAGGTGAGCTGACAAAGCGATCACGGACGACTGTTTTTTCTTCTGCATTGCCTTGATTCACTGACAATTCCACCGTTTTTCTACCAGGTGCTTGGCTTTCTCTAACCTGAGGCACAGACTACGTTTTATTGAACATCTATTAAAAATTCAGAAGATGTGCTCATTTGAAAAGCCTTCCTGTTTCAAAGGAGGAGAAATTCATAAAGGCAGTGCACCTTTACTATCACGGCACGTTTTGTCATGCACAGACGGTTCTTTCAAAAATTATCATGGAACAGACTGAGAGCTAAATGTGAAATGCTGAGCGCTCCAGTTAAAGCAGAGACCTCATTTCATTCACATCCAACTCCAGACAGATTAGACAGGGCAAACGGCTGAAAAAATCACTCTATTCTTTTTTCAGCCATGGCAGTACACTTCTCAGCACAAAGCTGAGGAATTTTACTGCAAGGTTGGTGTGGAGTGTGTGTTTAACTTTCACAAGAGGTGATATTCTTTTTTTTTTTTTAACATATTATTAGGGGCTCATACAACTGTTATCCCAATCCATACACTCATCAATTGTGTAAAGCGCATTTGTACATCGTTTCTCAAAACATTTTCTCTCTACTTAAACCCCCGACATTAGGTCCTCATTTTTCCCCTCCCTCCCCGCTCCCCCCTCCCTCACGAGCCCTTGATAGTTTATAAATGGGTATTTTGTCATATCTTGCCCTGTCCGACGTCTCCCTTCACCCACTTTTCGGTTGTCTGTCCCCAGGTGTTATTCTTAAGAGGACTTCCTTTCCATCCCTTTATCTAGATATTCAATAAATCATTTCATGAACAAACAGAAAATTGGGGGGCAGAATCCCAAGGACAAAAGTATAAAACTCCTTAAAATTGTG